TATATACATAGTATATAAGCCATATTCGATAGTATACATCTTACGATATACTATATATACATCTTAATATAGTAAGATGTATATTTAGTGTATATATATAAGCCATATTCGATAGTATATAAATATATCTTAAGATGTATATATAGTATATAAATCGAATATTAATGTATAAATCTTAAGATGTATATAAAGTAAATCGAATATAGCTTATATATCTTAAGATGTATATATAGTATAGTATAGTAAATATATTATAACGCATTGCTTTGAATATCTCTTTACAATATTTTTGTCTTTAAATTTGAATTAAAAAATTTAGGTGACAATTCTATAATTAATTTACTAGGAATTGCCTTAGATATTTTTATTACCATTTTTTTTCTCTAACTTGTATAAAATAATTTAAAAAATAAAAAGTTTTCGTTGGGCCCGCTTAGGACCGTTTGGGTCCTCTTAGGCCCGGGACCGGCCCACTTAATACGGGACCGCTAGTTCGTGGTCCCGGTCCCGGACCTGTTCCAATGAGAAGCCCGCGAAGCCCGGGACCGCTTAGGACCGGCCCGCCTAGGACCAACCCACTTAGCACCGGGCCCGCGAAGCTCACTTAGGACCAGGCCCGACCCACATGCCACCCCAATTCCACCATGACTAGAATGTTTATAGTATCTTATTAGGTTGACAGTTCTGGAGTCTTAAGGCAACTACAAAGGTATTTCTTCCTCCAATAGTGAGCCTTTGTTGATGAATATTTACGCACCATGATTTTCTTATTCTACTTTAAGCATTTGGGTTACCAGTAATTATCGCCAAATCACGCCTTAAGAACCAAAGTTAGATTCCAAGTTATGAGATGTGGTACTCATAATTTTTAGTAACAACTGAACTTATAATGAACAAAAATTATAAAATAATTAGAGGAGATTCAATTTAATATCAAGCTACAGTCTAAGGAATTCATCAAGAATAAAAGAAAGTACACCAACAAGTTGGAAAGTAACTTAACAACACAAGTACACTAACTTCATGTATTAACCAAACACATGTATTGTTAAAGTATATATCAGTTGTTACCAACATACAAACCAATTATCAAGTGTGCATTATATTAGACAAAAGGATCTCAAATTATATCCACACAAAAATACAACCGAAAGTGATAACATGATACCCTAATGCAATCATGAACAACTAAGAACCAAAATATAAGTTTTTACTAATTCTACTGCCACCATCATTCTCACACTCTCTCTAAGTGAATAAAATGCGTTAAGACGTCTCATAAATCTAGGTTCTATATTTTTACATGATGGATTTAACGGGTTGTGGGTTAACGTATTTTTTTTTAAATTTTTTTTTTTTTAATTTGGTGGCTTTCCGTTAGGTGATGGGTATTTTTAAAAAGTTTGGCTAACTGTAAGAGTAGATGTGGCCTAATAGTATAACGGAGGGTATATGTAAACAATATACCAAAGTAGAGGGGTATATTTGACCCTAAGCAAGCCGGGCACTACGCTAGAACGTGGATCGATCATGACGAGAATGGACTTCTCCGTAATGTAAATGTAATAGAAGAGGCAGAGTCCAATTCCCCTCCCTTCTCGACCAGACGAAGGAGATATGAATTCTATTTAGGCGGGTCGGAGCTTGGCTTGACCTTGTGTTCTCCTGGGTCGGAAGCGAGAACTTTAAAGTGAATCATTCAGTGGTGGGGTGTTCATAGAACAGAAGGTCTCACCCAAGGAGTGGCAAATTTGGATGGAGTCTCGCTATGATGCCGGGGAGATGAGATCCATAGATCTGGATAGAGTCTCGCCAAAAATGAAAAGTTCGACATAATTGAGATTTTTTTTGAAAATTGGAAGCAATTACTAATTCATCATCTGGCATGTACAAAATGAAAAATTTATTCTCGATTCTACGAGAATTTTTATGAAAGCCTTTCATTTGCTTCTCTTCGATGGAAGTTTGATTTTTTCAGAATGTATCCTAATTTTTGGCCGCGGATTAGTTTGTTCTGCGCTGCCAACAACCTTAACTCAAAGGCGCAGGTTGATCTCTCAGGTCAGACCGGTTCCAACCATTCTTGCTAAGGTTTAACTACTAAGATATTTAAGTTTGCTAAATACGAGTATATACTAGCCACTCTAGAGATTCTATGGGAAATTGAAAACGTCGAAGTAACTTGTGGCTTATAAATAGGAAGACGAGGATTTATTCAACGTTGCACTCAAACTTAATAGTTAATCGCCTATCCTTATCTTTCCAGAGAATAAAAATTGATCAAATATATAACTCTTACGTGGTGGTTTAACTTGTAGACCTTTTCTCAAAACATTGTTAACAAAAAATAGAGAACATTGGATTGCTTTTTGACATTGCAAATCGAATTGTGATAAATTAATTACTGAATTGTTATATCAACTAACCACGAAGTTATAATCGGTTTAAGCATTTGATACCTGAAATTCACTAGATCAACTAATTTAAATTTGCATCAGATAAACCTACTATAACAAAAAAATCTTACAACATTTTTAAAGGCTCGATCTATCACCTCGTCATATTAAAGGGATTCCAATTAGGGGTGTACAAACCGAACCGAAAAATCACCCAAACCGAAAAGTCAAATCAAACCGATCAAAAAACCCGACTAGGTTTAATTTGATTTGGTTTGGTATTGAATAAAAAAACTCGAACCAAACCGACATATAAATATATAATTTTTATATATACTTTTAAGACTTTTCATAGAATTTTCTTTAAAACATATCTAGAAATATTTTAGATTCTCTTATGGGATGTAATATAGTAAAATATGAAGTGTTCTATCTTTATTAATTTTAAATAATGGGTTGTATGATCACTTTCTTATCAAGTGTTAGTTAAATGCGTCAATCTCTTTGTTCTTCCATATTCATATGTCAAAATTTGTTAAATTCTTATATATTTTTTGAATTTGAAGTGATATTTCGATAATTTAAAATTAAATAAAATATATTATTATATAGGTATCATATTGATTTTATATTTAATTATTAAATTCAGTTAATCTTAAAAGTGTACATCAATAAAAAAATATATATTGTCAGACGATTAAAAAAATAACTATCATACGTTATTAAGAAAATTATCCCATAAGAATATATTAATAAATAATACGTTTGTCAATTTTTACTGAACATATATTTATTTATTAAAAATTTAACAAAGTATATAATAAAAAAATATGAAAAATCCGATAAAATCGAATCAAATACAAACTGATATAGTTGATTTGATTTTGTTGCCATGAAAACCGAACCAACCCATTATGTACAACAGTGATTCCAACCATCTAGTCACGCCTTTAGGTATTTTTGCGCAAACTTAACAAGCATTGGAACAAATTCCTACATGTGATCCGACCCTCGTGGATTTTGCTAATGCTATTTCAGTTCAATTGAATCTTGTCTATTATTCCTCTAGTTTTATAGTCACCTAGGTTTGATTGTCCGAAGATACAAGAAAGAGCAGCATTTAAAATTACACGTATATCATATGGTTTGCTCATCTTCCTCTTTGTCACCGACAACCTCTGAAAAATGCTAGTCGGAGATGCTCTTCACTTACCCTCTACATTAGCCTCTGCAAAAATCAACAGCTAACCCTTTAAATTCCTCTATTGGCCATGTCAAGGTCCCCTCTTTACTCTGTTTTTCTCTCTCATTCCACAATAAACTATCATATTCGTTGATTTCATGAGTCTTTAGACATTTCGCCTTTCCTATAATTGACATGAAAGACAGAGTTTTTAATTCGTTTAGTTTTATGTTTTCATTGGGAACTTAAGTTGGTTGAACTCTTTGCTCACGTGGCAAGATTTCTGTAGCCATTTGATACTCCATTAGCATAGCTCAAGTCTAAATTCTCAAGTTTTTAAACCCCCCTTTTCAAATTAAATACAATAGAAGACGGTTATTATCTGGTGCAAGTAAAACAAAGACATCCGGCCGTTGGAAATGATCTTGTAGTAGGTTTCATGTTCAATGAATCAATATTTTGACTGGTTATTCTAGTTCTAGTTTTTCATTTTGTTTTTTTACTTATTTGTTAACAGCAGTGAAAAATGGAACCTGCTTTGGGATTTTCCCAATTATCATCTGCTCAAAGATGAAATACTACTATTCTTTCAGATATTGCATATTTGACGTTTTCTATATTTAGGGGCCCATTGTATACCTTGAAGCAAGCAGCATAAAGTTTCCAAATTTGGAAGGCTGTCCTTTGTTTGAAGTACTTTTTGCACTGATGTCTTGCTTTTGGGGTGTAGGGCATTTTTTGTTCTGCATAGAGAAACTAATGTTCATGTTTTACTGTAGTCATTCCAACTGTCATTGTTGTTGAATTGGTATTTGAGTTGCACATCTTAAAAAGAGGAAATTATTTTAGTGTGAAATGACCACATATTTTATATTTTGCATCTGCTAAGTTGTCTTGTGCTTGGTATGCAGATTCTTAGCGGTTGGTAAAACTAAAGGACTTGGACAATCCTTATGCAGAAATCAGACCACTATCCGTCCAGAACAAGCGAGAAAAGGAAATCTTATTAGGATTGGGGTAAGTTCTCCTAGATGTAGATTTTATGGGCAATATGTGTCTATCACAAGGGGACACGCTTCATCCATGACATATAGAATGCATAGTACTTTTCGTGGGAGATGTTTAATGACTTCACCAAGAACATCTGTAAGTCATCACGCACAAATAGCTTGGAAGAAGTTATCATGTAAATCTTTCTACAAAGGACAAACTTTTATCTGCTTAAGTCGATTTGCACAAGCGCTTTGCTTGGCGTTGAGCAGGTCTCATGTGGTTCTCCCTGGTTTTCTTGGCTTAACATATGGAAGAAATATAGCGTTGGCACGAGCACCGTCAGACTTGGAGAGTGGTCGCCCGAGGAATAGCTTATACAGGCATGCTGAAGATGGACATGTTTTGATTACCTCATTATTGCATTCCATATTTGAAGGTTTTATTCTGCTATTGAGAGCCTTTTATTTGGGGATACTCTTTTCTCCTAGCATTGTGATGGCCCCATTTGCAGATGTTTTTGGACCTTCTTTCAGGAAAATGTGGCTCCAGGTAGTTCGTAGCTCACTCGAAAGAGCAGGTCCTGCATTTATCAAATGGGGCCAATGGGCAGCTACACGGCCTGATCTTTTCTCTAGAGATTTGTGTACTGAGCTATCAAAGCTTCACACAAAAGCTCCTGAACATAGCTTTGCTTACACGAAAAAGACAATCGAAAAAGCATTTGGTCGAAAACTTTCTGAAATTTTCGATGAATTCGAGGAGAAACCTCTGGCATCTGGAAGTATTGCTCAAGTGCATAGGGCATCCTTGTTGTATCGATACCGTGGTCGACAGATCAAGCCTATAGTGGTGGCAGTGAAAGTTAGGCATCCTGGAGTGGGTGAATCAATTAGACGAGATTTTGAGATTATTAATCTAGTTGCTAAGATATCGAAGTGCATTCCTAAACTGAAGTGGTTAAGGTTAGATGAAAGCGTACAACAATTTGCTGTTTTTATGATGTCTCAAGTAGATCTTGCTAGGGAAGCTGCACATTTAAGCCGCTTCACCTATAATTTTCGGAGATGGAAGGATGTCTCTTTCCCAAAGCCTGTCTATCCCCTAGTGCATCCTGCAGTATTGGTCGAGACTTTTGAACAAGGGGAATGTGTTTCATATTATGTTGGTGAGCTTGAGGGCCATGAAAGACTTAAGAGCGCACTTGCTCATATTGGGACCCATGCTCTTCTAAAGATGCTTTTGGTAATGTTCTCTTTATGTAGTGTGTGTGTTTGTGTATTCTAATTAAGAAAATGTTCTCTTTGTTAATTTGTCTAGATTTGCATATAAATCACAACATTTAATGCAAACGTGCAACCTAGGATATACTTTTAACGGAATTAAACTTCTAAAGATGCTTTTGGTATTATTATCTTTATATATGTCCGTGTGTGGGGATATATTTTGATTAAGAAAATGTTCTCTGTGTTAATTTGTCTAGATTTGCTTATAAAGCACAACGGAATTTAATGCAAACGTGCAACCTAGGATACACTTTTAACGGAATTAAACTTCTAAAGATGCTTTTGGTATTATTATCTTTATATATGCCCATGTGTTGGGATATATTTTGATTAAGAAAGTATTCTTTATATTAATTTGTCTAAATTCGAGTATAAAGCACAAAATTAATGCAAATGTGCGACTCTAAAATATACTCGAATGCAATACAAAGGTCTAATGGAATACAGAACTGACAATATATCAGACGCTATTGTTCCCTCTCAGGCTATAAAAGCAGATATTTTAGGTCAAGATTTGAATAGAAATATGATGTATTGCAAGCAAAGCTGTAGTTATGCCTAATGTGGTTAGGCCAATTTTCAGACACATGGAAGTTCCTTCATTTTATATGAAATTTTCTTTTTTGTAATTGCCTATTAGTCCTTACTCCCTTTAAGAAAATGTTACATGCTGTATTCGTCTCACAATGAAGAGAGATCTATTAACAGACATATTAAGCAATTGATTTATATGTACTATAGATGTTGCCTTTCTGAGTTATTGTTGATGGCCTTGAATACTCGCAGTCAGTGCCTGTCCTTTACTTTAATTTCTTTATAAAAAATACTGGCCTTGAAACCTGACCCGAAACTGTGCTCTTATCGAAGTTAAAGCAGTGATTAGTGATAAAAATAAATATGGAAACACATTATTTTGGCATTATCAGCACTATTTCTTTCATGACTGTTACTTAGTGCTGCTTCTATTCTTTGTGTTATTAGTTATTACTATAAAGAAGGAACGAAAAGAAGCCTTCTATGACATTTTCTTGGTTGCTTGCATGTAGTCTATTTCAGTAATTTCTAGAATTTGCAATGCTGAAGAGGAAATGGCATTGGAGGATTACCTTGTCCAAAAAGTGTTTAGATGGATAGGAACCTATTATCTCTATGTTATGTATTGGAATCAACAACTTTTACTTGCTCCTAAGTCTTTTTTCACTTTTCATATAATACCCCTTTCCCCATTTCAGGTGGATAACTTTATTCATGCTGACATGCATCCTGGAAATATCCTTGTTCGGGTAACCCAAAGCAAGCAATCCCAGAAACGCATCTTCAAATCAAAGCCTCATGTTGTTTTCCTTGATGTAGGCATGACTGCTGAACTTTCTAAGAATGATCGACCAGTATTATTGGAGTTCTTTAAGGCAATTGCTCGTCGAGATGGCCAGACTGTAGCAGAGTGCACTCTGCAGTTGTCAAAGAAACAGAGTTGCCCTAATCCAGAAGCCTTCGTTAAGGTTTAGTTTCATACATCTTAAATGGATTATTTGAGAACTTCCTTACTTACTTCCCCAATGGTAGCTATCGTTTATTGCTCCCTTGGAAAGAAAACTATAATTTACTTATGCAAAGAAAAATAATTGGAGATCAGATTTTGTAAAAGCAGCTCATACGCTTTGCTAGTTATCCTCATTAAACTAGTGAACTAGTAACTTTAACATCCATTAATGAACTATCCTTCTACCCCAAATTGGCTATCAGGATTCACTTTTTGGGGATTCTGATAAAGGTTTCAAGTGTAATGTTTTTGAAATTGTGAATATGGATTGTAAGAAGATGGAAAAAGAGTATGAATATGTAGCACCAGATGTAAATTTATGTAGAGTATTGTTATTGTATGTTAATTTGACTTTTTGTAGAAGTAAAATTTCCATTTCAAGGAGGTAAATCTTTTCTGGACTTTCTGTCACGAGAAGTAGATCAAATAAAAAGTCGGATGGAGGGACTAACAAATTCTTTCCACAAACCCCTCTGCTCCTCCTATCCGCCACCAGTGGGCGAAAAGTTTATAAAGGAAAAAAAAGGTTAAAATGGAAGAGAAAAGGCAATGGTGATAAAAACTAGGTGCTAATGTTCCTTATACTGATCAAAATGCATCACTAGCTTTAGCTTTTTGGCTATGAATAAGACTATAATAGGATCTACTTTCTTCAATTTTTTCAATATTGCTGCACAAACATTCTTGTTCATGAAAATCTTGATTGGTCATCTATGTATGGATACGACTAATGTATATAGCGTGGAGTTACTCCTATTATTTTACATGATATCTTTATGCTAAAAAGACTTCTTAATCTTTTTGATAAATGGAGGTGATGAATATTTGCCTTAGTTATCTAGTGATGTCCTACAGGAAGTGAAGGAGTCATTTGATTTTTGGGGGACTCCAGAAGGCGATTTGGTCCACCCTGCTGAGTGCATTGAACAACTTCTTGAGAAAGTTAGGCATTACAGAGTGAACATAGATGGCAATGTTTGCACTGTCATGGTGACAACTTTGGTCCTTGAGGTAATTCTTCCTTTTTCGGCGAATGTGGTGTTTATGAATAAGATGTGGAATTGACTAACTCGCATTTCTATATTCAAACATGTTGAAACTAACTCATCAATCTGCTGAGTAGTATTCGATGATAATCTTTCATAGGGACTACTTTTCTGGATTAAGATTTGTTCTTCTTTTGGTACTTACAGCGTTTTGTATTATTTTTGCTGATAGGGCTGGCAAAGGAAGCTTGATCCTGATTATGATGTAATGCACACCCTACAGACGCTGCTGCTCAAATCTGATTGGGCAGAATCACTATCTTACACCATTGAAGGACTCATGGCCCCATGACAAGCTCATCCAATTCTTCCTCTAACTGCGAGACAACTACTTGTAAGTGTAAAATAAATAAATGTATATTAGCCAACATAATGAAGTTTGCTTCAAGTTTTATAAAGCATTTCAGCTGGCCTGAGAGTATAGTAAGCAACCTTGGGAAGGATTTTGTCCTGTACTTGTTGCTTTGATTCAAAAATTACTGCCCCGGCTATTTTATCACATATATGCATGAGTTTACAAGTAAAGAAGAATAAAAAGTCATTCTTTGATTTGTTAATAGTATATATTTTTCCTTTTTCAAATTCTATCCTGGTTTTGGACGTGTTTTATTGTACATAATTATCAATTAAAACGATTATGTTTTCTTTGCCTGAATTGTCGAAAGTAAAAACCATGTGAACTTTGAAAATTAACTTATTAAGCACAGATCTTGGAGGCAATAATTGAAAGAGAACTAGAAGAAAATTCAAAACAAAGGGTGAATCTTTTTCTTTTAACCTTTTCTTGGTAAACAAGCGTGAATATTACAGTAAGGAGTACCAAAGCTCATATTGTTCATGCCATCCCATCCATATGCTCAAGTTGTTTATTTATTTTTGTTGTCTCATAAGCAGAAGCGGAGATCTACTCCTCAAATTGAGCTAACCTTCTGTGCATTGACATTTGGCAGTAGTGTTTTTACACCATCTTGCTAAGATTATGACATAATAGGAGGTAATTGTCTATAGTAATTCTAATTTTGCAACCACAAAAAATTATAGTAATTGACCTGCTGTAACTGGAAAAAGTACACTGATGGTTTAAAAATTCTTTGAAATGCTAGTGTATATAAGTTAAATTAAATGGCTTTGGAGAAGAAAAAAGCAAATAAGAAGAGGTAAACACATGTTTCTCGAAAAGAAGAAATCTTCAAGATCCAGTAAAGCTAAGTTGACAAACTGTCATCCATTTGAATTAAATACAAACGAGGCTGAATCTTGTGAAATATCGTCGCAGCATTGTGAAAAGACGAAGGAAACTAAGGAGTGTAATAAAAAAGGCAGCCCCAAATTACAGAAACTGAAGTGAGAAAGTAGTATGACTTTTGTTTTCGTATGTGTCTGAGTTAATAATAGACATTGTCCTATAGTCCAAAGACTGAACAGTTTATGCACTAGAAGTCTAGAGCTGAACTTTCTGATGGGGTACCCAACACAACAATATGGCATACTTTTTAGATAATAATTCAAAGGCCCCTCTATATAACAAAAGTGTAGCTTTTTTTGCAAGAAATAATACTGCTTAGACACAAAGTAGACGAGACATGCGTCAGGTCTTGCCTTGGAAAAAGATTATAACGTGGGACTCAAAATCTAATATCGATGCTCCAAAACCTCCCAACACTAAGAAAACACCTTCACACCAAATGTTTGGCCATTAGCTTTTGTGGTTTTGGTTCCATATAGTCTTTAATTTGTTTTCTGTCTTCCCTTTGACTTGTGCGTTTTTGGTCCAACCTCCTCTCGCCCTTTAGCCTCTGAAAATGTGCATGAACCTATGGGACATTCAGCTTCAAGTCTACACTTCATTGTCTGTATATATTTGTATTTCTGAGAGATTTGGAAGGGACGAATCTTAAGTGGAATTCCTGATCTACTATGTTAAAGAACAGAACCTTGAACCTCACTCAACAGCCAAAACTAGCGAGGAGATCACACATCCCCTTTATTGTCGATGTGGGGCTCAACATCACAATTATGGGGCCGCAATATCGAAAAATTGAGATGAGTCCTACTCTGATTGCATGTTAAAGAACTGGACCTTGGGCCTAACTTAACCCCAAAAATCAGCTATGAGGTGAGGATTGCGCCAAGTCCAGAGATCACCTATCCCCTTCATTGTCGATGTGGGACTCATCATACTATTTGTTTCATTTTTAAACTCATCATACTATTTGTTTCATTTTTAAAGGATTGAGCTTTTTGGGAGCATAATACTTCAATTTTGATGGTAATGCCAATTTTTGTGAAGAGAATATAAGCAAATTATAACAAGTATTCGTTCGAAAGGGTCCAAAAATTTGAGTACATATGTTAAATGTTCAACGAATAGTTGGAATGAAAATGAATCGTTGGTTCGCAGAATACTCATTTGGAAATTAAAGTGGGAGAAAGAGAAGACCAGCTTCTTTTTTAGAAAAAAAAAAAGGTAGTGACAGGTAATAGATAAAGCTGCAAATAATGGGAAGTGGCCACATGCATGTGGACGGTCCTCTCTCCATTGTTTCAATTGATGAGTTCCGTAAGGAAGGAAATGATAAAGCTTCTCTTTTCCATGCACATGGCTTGTAATATTTTTTTTCCCCTTAGTCAAAGAGGTCCCCTCAACCCCCCCATATTCTACCTCCTTTACTTTTCTTTTTTCCCTAGATTCCCCTACTTAAGAAAATCAGAGAAAATAATTATGAAATCCTCCATTAGAACTGTTCATTATTGAAAGAACAGAATGGGACAAAATATACAAATAGGAGAATCCTGTTTACGTTAATGATAATAATGATTCAAGTCATAATTTCTAAGTTTAAATTTTTTTATATTATTAAATCACTTAAAGATAATTATATGTAACAATCCATCCAAAATGAAATTAGTTATCCGAAAAATAAAACAGATTGCATATTCTTCGGGGATGGCCCAGTTGGTTTGGAGGGCGGTCATCTCCTCCCTCGATGTTTTCTTGGTCGATCCTGCCGCACAGTGCAGTTTATATCCCATATGTGGTTTGCAGGCTATTACACAGTGGAAGGTTTACCCAGTGCGCACAGAGTGCTCACCCGAAGGGCAGCGGCAGAGGCTGTAGCGGTTGCGAGTTTTCCCGGGTTTCAAAAAAAATATAAAAATACATTGATAATGCAAAAAATATTTAAGCTATCAATGGATATAAGTTAAATTCTAATGATTAAGCATATGCCTGGTATGGAATAATGACAGAAAGAATTTGAATGACTGAAATTTTAAATTAAAGCCACAAATACCAACTTAGTACATGAAGATAACAGTGTAACAGATTGTCAGTCATTAGGCTCCACAGGGATAACACGAGTTGGACTTAAAAGGATCTTCACCTGCCATCATTCATTGTCTTCATATATTTATCTCTGGTTAGGTGAAACTATGCATTAGTGTCTTCGGGTAAATGGGACTTTCCCTTTAATTTATTTTTGGGGCCAACATAAAAGTGAAAATGATGTTTTAGCTTCTGATTAATCACCTAAACTTCATGTCTTTTATGTGTTGACTTCTAATATATGGTGTCTTCAAGAGTTGTCCCATTGCTGAATATAAATATCAATGCAATGTATGAACAAAGATAATCAATTGCAAAAGTCTAGAAGAAGAAAAGCATGGGATATATCACTCTTGATTCCGTGTAATCACATACTTATTAATTTTAAAAAGGTACCTCGTGCACAAATTATTCCGCATTCACGCAAGTTTCGTGGAAGAGCCGCACGTATGGAGGTGTGATGCAGACAGTCTATCCTAATATGTTTAAAGAATGAGCCTTACTTTTCTGTTGACATTTCTAATATTGTAATATCTTTATTTTCTTAAAATTCTTTCTTGAACTCCATATTTAATTTGTGGCCGGGCATTGCTTTTACAACTAACCAAAAGTTGACGTTTAAGCTGATAAAGACTGTTCATCTTTAATGTCAACCTATCTTTCTTTATTTCAAAGTTCAAACGAAAAAAATGCTACACTAGTGTTCCTTTTTTTTTTTTTTTTTTTTTTTTTTTTTTTTTTTTTTTTTTTTGGTAAAATAAAAATCTAGGCATGAATATTAAGATCCTTCATAGTTTTGACCTTTATCTAATGAAATGGTCAGTCCACCGAATTGATTGAGTCAGGGCGAACATAATTTAATTGAAATAGAAGAATCCATTAACTTTAATTTGGTAACCAGTTACAATGGGATCTAACGTGTATAACAACAATTAACCAACGATTAGTTAATGTTTAATAAAATGACAAACACAGAATAAAATGTGATTAATTAGTTAAGCTGTTGTTCGATCTGGTTGTTATGTTTGCAACGTAAATTAGAAAGAAATTCAAGACAATAAAAAATTAAAGAACAGAAGGAAGAAAACTAAAATAATATAGAAAATTAGGACTCTTATCTGTTCATCTTTGAACCAACCGATGAAAAAGATAAAATACCCAACTTTGTTTTTCTTTTTCAAAAAGTATTTCTCTTCTAATTTTTACTTATTATTTAAATAATTCTCTAATTCTATTTACTTTCTGTCTCTTTCTTCTTTTCTCTGAGATCATCTTCCAAACAGTGGAGAAACAGAAACAGAGATATTGTCAAATGGTGCTTAGTATTTTTCATCAAAAACTATCAAATCAACTTTTTCTGAAAACGACCCTGACGGTAGAATAATTCCATCATTTGCCATGTGTAAAAGAAAACAACAAAATAAAATAGAAAATTATTTTGGTCATAATATGTAAATAAATAAATGCATTATATTAATGCATGACTATATTCTCAACCTAATCCTTCGTTTTGTTGTGAAAACCAAAGGTTAAGGAACATTCATAAGAATCAAGACACAGACTGACAGACTGTAATTGGGGACCATAGCTAACCCATAAATCCAACAATATTTTAACTCTAAAAATAGCATAGAAAAAAAACATAAATGCATGAGACAAAAAACACTTAGACCCATAATATATACTCCCTTCTTATCATTCATGTTCCATTGACTACTCATCATCAGCTTCGCTTCAATTCAATTCACAGAATGTGATCACTGAATAATGCACCAAAATATGCTTACCCTTTACTTCTTTTTCAAGAATGCAACACCAAAAAATGTGATATATCAGATTTATATATACACTTAGTTTGACATTTTAAGCATAATTTTGAGGTTGGGTTGAGTATAATGGGTACAATTGATGATGTGTCGCGAGAGGCTGGAGGCTGTGAAGAGAGAATTTTAGTGTCGGTGCGGCTAAGGCCTTTGAATAATAAGGAGATTTTCAGAAATGATGTTTCAGATTGGGAGTGTATTAATGACACTACCATTATTTACAAGAATGTTAATCTTTCTGTGTCTGAACGCTCTATGTATCCCTCTGCCTATAGCTTTGGTAAGTCTTTAGGAATTTGATGAATTTATTTCTTCATATTATTCCTGATTTTAAGTCTTAATTTTTTGTTCAATTTTGCTTTTTTGTGACCTCTGGTAGAGTCTAATTTACTTGGAGGTTTTGTAATTTGCTTTTTCTTATACTTTTTGCTTGTTCATTCATTATTTGGTGAAATTTTGTTCAGCAACTCATGTTGTTAAAATCTGCTTCCTCTATTTTATTTGCATTAGCTCTTTAATCAGAGAATTCTGTAATGAGGCTTTTTCAAGTTTATTTTTATTAATTGTGATTTAAGTTCTACTGCGTTTTTTAGCTGAGGGTCTATCGGAAACAGTCTCGGGTATGGCTGCGTACACTTTACCCTCCCCAGACCCCACCTGTGGGAAATCACTGGGTTTGTTGTTGTTGTAAGTTCTACTGTGCAAATTTAGGAAAGAAAGCTTTTTGCAGCCTCAAAAAATCTGCTTTACCATATTAGGATATTACCAATTGCTATTTTTATGGCTCGCATACTATAACTATGATTCTCTCAGTTGACATTGTTCTGTTTTTTTGGTTATAATTTTGCTTCCAGACAGGGTATTTAGGCCTAATTGCTCCACAAGACAGGTATATGAAGAAGCAGCTAAAGATGTTGCTCTTTCGGTCGTTAGTGGATTCAATTGTGAGTAAGAAAAACATTTTCTTTTTCTTTAGTCCATCTCCTATATTATTTTTATCTGAAACAATGTATGTATTTGCTAGCAAGCGTATTTGCATATGGCCAAACAAGCAGTGGAAAGACATTTACTATGACTGGTATAACTGAATATGCAATAGCAGACATATATGACTATATTCAGAAGGTAAACTCATTACTTTGAGATCACTTGTATATAGTGTCTGCATTCCTTATCTCCCAGGCTTTTTCGCTTGCTTACTGAGTATTCAGTCATACTACTACTTGTAGCACGCCGAGAGAGACTTTATCTTGAAGTTCTCTGCTATGGAGATTTACAATGAATCTGTCAGAGATCTCCTAAGTGCAGATAGTACTCCTCTTAGACTTCTAGATGACCCTGAGGTTAGTTCTCTTCTCTGATCAACAAAATTTTAGTTTTCCTTTTTCCCTTTAAAATCTCATAAAGCAACTTTGACAGAGAGGGACAATTGTTGAGAAACTCACAGAGGAAACATTGAGGGACTGGAACCATGTAATTCAGCTCCTTTCTATTTGCGAAGGTAAGAGATGAAAGATTAGCTTTTGCTTCCAAAAGGCATCTGTGATTTTGAATTTAATTTAGCACTGAAAAGAGTGGAATGGATACAGAGGAGGGTTGGAAGAATAGTTGATTGATATTGATTGAATTTTTGCAGCTCAGAGACAGATTGGGGAGACTGCACTAAACGAGACCAGCTCCAGATCTCACCAAATTATCAGACTGGTAAAATAACTTAATATTACTCTTGTGCAACTGGCTAACAAGCTATTAATTTATAAAATATTACAGTTCTGACACATAACTTATTGCAGACAATTGAAAGTTCTGCTCGTGAGTATTTAGGCAGGGACAACTCCAGTACTCTTTCAGCTACTGTGGTATGAAAATGTGTCTCCAGAAGATAGTTGCTACTTTGCGTTGTCTTGTTGGTACATCATACTAATAACAGCTTTCTTTTTCACGGGGAAACACAGAATTTTGTTGATTTAGCTGGAAGTGAGCGTGCATCTCAGTCCTTGTCGGCTGGGGCAAGGCTGAAAGAGGGCTGTCACATTAATCGCAGCTTGCTGACCTTGGGCACTGTGATACGTAAGCTAAGGTTGTTTTCACTTTCTTGCTGCCCTTCTAAGTTAGTGCGATATGATTGTTCTAAGAGTTCGTGTTTTCTGGTGCAAACTTACTATTGGTCTGTGCTTCAATCTTGTAATGCTGGCACTTTAAGAAAAAAAAACCAGGCATTGCATTCAGCTTTGTAGCATATAAGTCAGTTGCATCAATTTTGCAGTCCTCTTACATTGCCACTAATGCAAGTTGTTATATAATTTAATACAGCAAGAGTAGGAATGGTCACATTCCTTTCCGAGATTCAAAGTTAACTCGGATATTGCAACCGTCATTGGGTGGCAACGGTAGAACTGCCATCATCTGTACGATGAGCCCTGCACGAAGTCATGTTGAACAATCAAGGAACACTCTTCTGTTTGCAAGTTGTGCAAAGGAAGTAACTACTACTGCCCAAGTGAACGTAGTCATGTCAGATAAAGTGTTAGTGAAGCATTTGCAGAGGGAGTTGGCGAGATTGGAGAGTGAGTTAAGGAGTCCTATACCTTCTTTATTCCCTTCAGATTATGAAGCATTACTGCGAGAGAAGAACAAGCAAATAGAACAGGTACCGCATCTTGTTAGATGATCGCACGTATTTGCATGAATGATATATTTAGGGTTCTTAATTCTCCTCTCTCACATGCCGAATTATGGTACCTCCTTTCCAAGTTTTGATATCCTATTGTGTTACTTGGAAACTTTCACTTGTTTCCTCACCCTAGAGAAGTGAGAATTGTATTCTGTTGTGTGGGAACTTCTACTCTGTGCGTGTGAGTGTGTGTGTGTGTGTGAGAGAGAGAGAGAGAGAGAGAGAGAGAGAGAGAGAGAGCAATCGTATGGCCCCATAACATGGTGACAGGTGTCAGCAAATTGGTATGATTGCAGTAAACAAAGATAAAAAGGTACTACGTAGAACTAAACAGGAATAATTGAAGCTACAAGAACTTTGCAATGCAAACTTACAAATATTTGAATATTTTTGCGCATGTTAGATGTAACCTTCATATAACTAGGAGGTTAATTTCTAGCCCTTTTCTTAAATTGAAAACATGTAATATTTCGCATCTGACATGCTTTTTGAGTATCTCGCATCTTTATTGAATTGGTTCAAAATCTTGTTTTCTTGGAAAAATTTACCTGGCTATTTTACAGCTGCCTACTGTTTAGACAGCTTGGACCGTTGATCATTTTGCCATCTCATTTTGTAGATGGAGAAGGAAATAAAGGACTTGACTTTGCAGCGTGACATTGCTCAGACTCAAGTTAAAGATATGCGACAACTGCTTGGAGATGATGCAAGTTTATTGATGCAGGTACATATGCTACTTAGACTGCTAGTTTGTATCTACGTATTTACGCTCTCAATGCTAAAGGCAGTTGCACTACAGGTTGGTTTAGCAAACTACCCAAATCTGCGTGTGCGGAGATCACCAGATTATAGAAGCCGGATGCAAGTGTCCATTTTGTCAGACACCCCATCTATCGATGCTGATGTTAGAACATGTTCAGATGGACATAGCAGGAGTAGCTCTGAGGACCAAATTATACGCGTGCCAGAGTTTGAAGAGAACTTTCTCCATAACAGTTCATCTCCAAGGTTATTAGCCGGCAGTTCAAATTATAGTGAAAGTGATTCATGTGAAGGATGGGATGAGATTGAAAAACAAAGTAATGGAACTTCAGAAGACCTATTCAAGGAAGTTCATTGCATTGAAACCGAGGAATCAAGTGTGAAGGGAAAACAAGAATCCAATTTTCCATCTCCCGAAGAAAGCAGTAGATATCCAGCTGAAATGACAGCAGAATATGGAGACAGAGCTGATAAGGAAACAATATCACCTCCGGCTGATGACCATAGAAGATCAGTACCCCCTTCACTCAAGGAAGCTGGAGAATTGACATTGTTACCCTGTAAAGAAGAGCAGGAATTTGTTGCATTACCATCTTTTGAGGAAGAAAGGAAATCTAATGAAGATGCATTGTCACTTTCCTCGAAGGATCTCCAAACCCCTGAATCACCAAAGTTCACTGACAGTAGAAAGTCAGTACCATTGGCACTGAAGGAAGAAAAAGCAGAGAAAGAAGAAAAAGAGTTGGTGTGCACATTTGACGCTCCTTCTCCAGCAAATTTATCCTCACCATGTGAGCTCATTGGCGATTCACCACGCTCAAGAAACTTGAAATTGTGTAGAAGTAGAAGCTGTAAAGCTATCCTAATGGCTGATGCATCCTCTCCATGTTTTGAGGAACTCACCACAAAGGAAAATACTCCGCCATCTGGGTTAGAAAGAAATTTCAACGCAAGACCAAAGGGTTGGGAAATCAAAATTTCTCCCTTGAACTTTACCTCTGATGTGGAGGACTCTCCAGAGAAAGGCTCCACCGTTTATGGCGAGGTTGCTGTCAATATTGGGCTTGAAGTGTCAAAAGGGGAAGATACAACTAATGAGAATGTCAAGGATGTAGATGATACATGTGATGCAGGGAACAGAGAAAACGATGAGCCTCAGCCCGAAAAAGAGGTTAGAGAATGCCCTGTGAGTAATTTTCCTTTCTTCTCTCTCTACTTGTCATTTTAAATTCTGTCATATTTCTCTAGTCTTATCTGTTCATATTTCCGGTCATTCATGGAATTTCTACTTTAGGATGATTAATTTATATGCTTGTTTTTTGGATTTATTATTCTTCTATCCCTTACTGAAAATTTCCAGCTCTTTCAGAATACAAGCTTCACCTAAGTTTGATAATTATAATGTCCCGAGATTTTCACATAAACATTGTTCTTTCATGGTTGATATTCATGGAATAAAAAGGTTAAGGGTGTCAGAGTTTTATAATGTGAATGTTTTGCCTCAAAAAGAAAAGAGGAAAAACCTTAAGTTTGGGACAGTCGGATTACATTCCTTGGGCTTACATGCACTGTTTAAATGGAATCAGATAACATTTCCTTAATTTATTACTAATATGTGCTTGTTGTATATCACAGGTTCATGAGGCTGAACCAGAGCATCAAAAACTGTCAAAGTGTGTCAGAGATGTCGGTCTGGATCCAATAGAAGATGAACTCAAAAATCTTTCCAGCTGGACCTCAGAGTTCAAGATACTACAGAAAGAGATTATGGAACTTTGGCATGTTTGCAACATTTCCCTCGTACACAGAACATATTTCTTCCTTCTTTTCCAAGGTGATGATCCTAAGGATGCTGTATATATGGAGGTCGAGATCAGAAGACTGACCTTCCTCAACAACATATATTCGCGTGGAGAGAAAACTGTGGTCAATGGCAGGACTTTGTCCCTTGCACAAAGGTAATGGAATCACATCCGGCTCTAAAAGCATTTAACAATTGTAAGGAAAAAAGAAAGACAACCCTTCCCTACGTATATTTATATGTACACATGCACTATCTTTGTACCTAAAAGCATGATAGCAGGTCATGTCTTTGCATTTAATGGGACAGTCTTGTACCTGGTATGCTGAATGCAAAAGCAAAAGATGCTAGATAATATGCAAACAGAAATTTGGACTAATTGAAAACTTGTTTGATCTGGAAAACAGCATGAAAGACCTTCGGCAAGAGAGACGGATGCTGCGCAAGCAAATGCTGAGGAAGCTAACAGAAGAAGAACGAGAAAGCCTGTACCTAAAGTGGGGCATTCGGATCAATAGCAAACTTAGGAGGTTACAATTGGCTCAGCTTTTGTGGAACACGACAGATAATACGAACCACATTGCAGATAGTGCTTACCTGATAGCAAAATTAACCGGATTGATGAAGCCAGGGCAGGCTCCCAAGGAGATGTTTAGTCTTGATTTTTCACCCAGACCATCTAGAACTTATAGCTTCACACGTAGCTTGATATCTTCTCTCTTGTGAAAAGCCAGGTCAATAATTGAGTTGGAAACACTTGGTGTTCTGATTTTTAACTGTTAGTGAGTTTGAGTTTTCTTTGTTTGTTTGTTTTTTGGGTGGTGATCACTGGTGAGATTCTGATTGTAATTGGTTTTGTAGATTTGTAGAGGAGTCCCAATTTGATCTACTGAATGTAAAAAGAGTGTAACATACCTACATCATATATAGACTGGCTATTCCTCAACTAAGTCATTAAAAAGAAGGATTATAGTGAAGCTTTTCAAATCCCTGTCCAAACTTTTTGTGCCGCTTTCTAGTCCAGTAGTACTCCTTTGGCAAGATCAAGCTTTCCACATAGCTAATGGCCGGTACCATTTATAAAGACTTCCTTTCCGTGAACAAGAATGTTTTGCATATTATCATTCTTAGGATTGTACTATACAACAACCTTTCCTTTTTCTTAAGATCGTCTATTAACAAAACTAGTTCTCCATCTCCTGTCATGAAAAAGGGCACTACAATTCCATAAGAAAGATTTATTTTTAAATTCCTTATGAAAAATAAGGATGTCCATGATTTCTTTACTCCATATTCCTTCATGACCAATATCTCAAACACCCCCGTTATCATCTTCCTGGCAAGCCATACTTGGACATTCATTTAAAACTCCTAAACCGACTATATCATTCTCTCCTTGATCACACTTAGGCTCAGGGACGGGAAACATGTGGAACTTTTCAGAGATAGGATCAAAACAAATCACTGCATTACGAGGACCAATTAAAACTATCCCAAATACTCTTGTCTTCACTAAAGTGGGGCTTTTTAACCCTTACTCTATGGTGAAGCCGTCCATGCAGTATTGTAATCATAGACAGAGTGGATAGCATAAGGGAATTTGATTTGCCTCCATCTTTTGTCTTCAAGACTGGCAACTATAATCCAGGGTTTGATGTTGCATAATCAGTACTACTGCCTTGTAAATATTCTTGGAGGAGTCGAAACAAAGTCCCCCTTATGCATAATATAATAGCCATCCTCGTTCAAGAGGTCAAGCTCAAGAACTTTGGTATAAAATCGGGTGGTAGGATTCCACAAGTAAATATGCTCCTTCAGACTAATCAGAATAAGACCATGACAAGAACCTAAAAGCATACAAGTTCCTGAAGAAATCTCATCATCCCTTGTCATTAAAGGAAACTTGTGCTCTTTCAAAGTGAGGTGTTGGTTTATGAATCGGAAGATGCTCGACTTTGAATTATCTTTTTTGCGCTCTGAAACACCATGGCGATCACACCTTGTCGTTGTTGATTCGAGAGCTGGAATTTTGGGCTTGAAATCCAAGAACACCACGGCTTAGAAACACACTTGAAACGTAACAAGGATTTCACGGGTAAATTTGAGAGAATATCAATAGTGATTTTGTTGGGTAGATATGGCATTAACCTTTTTGGTGTTTGAAGTGAAGGCTTGTTTCTTTCGTTTTTCATTGTGGAAGGTTGTGTTTATATTACCATACAAAAACCCTAGCTTCTCTGGAATTAAGGTTTTCTAGAGAAGATATTATGTTCACGTCTAAGCCAAAGTCAATTAGGTTATAGAAGACTTTTTGGTTTATTTATATGCAAATAGTGTTTTCTTGTCGAGGGAAAATATTTGGCTATAGAAAAGAAGGGAGCGGGAGTTGGAACCCTAGGAAGAATACACTTGAAATAGGTTAACCACAAAAATCAGTTTTCCTAACACTTCAATTCCTAGCAAGCAAACTTTTATTTGAATTTAATGGACATTAGACTCAGATGAAATATCCTAAACGTTAAAGTGGAACATTTTCACGTCAAGTATCAAAGTCATGAGAATTTCTTTGAAGGTAATTAATATCGAAAGAACTGCTAATGCATTCTAGAATCATAGGGTTTTAGCTTTTCATTTAACAAATATTACTACAAATGTAATAACTCAACCGGTCATTTTGACTTTTAGAACCCCGTTCCCCTAAATAAAACTCCCTGTATGTGCTTTTATTAATTTATGACTTGCGGGGATGGTTGGTTCAGGATTTGGGAGTGTTCGGGTTGAAATAGGAACACTTGGTTCCTTAAGTTGGCCTTAGAATGCTAAGTTTGACTTCGATCAATATTTTGAGAAAAACGACCCCGGAATCGGGATTTGACGGTTCCAATAGCTCCGTATGGTGATTTTGGACTTAGGAGCATGTTTGAAATTTTATTTGGAAGTCCGTAGTTAAATTAGGCTTGAAATGGCTAAAACAAGAATTTAAGTTTGAAAGTTTGATCGGGGAGTTGACTTTTTGATATCGGGGTCGGAATCCAGTTCCGAAAATTTCATAGCTCTGTTATGTCATTTATGACTTGTTTGTAAAATTTGAGGTAAATCAGACTTGATTTGATAGGTTTCGGTACTGAATGTAGAAGTTGAAAATCTTAAGTTTCATTAAGCTTGAATTGGAGGATGATTCGTGGTTTTAGCGTTGTTTGGTGTGATTTGAGGGTTCGACTAAGTTCGTATGATGTTTTGGGACTTGTTGGTATAATTGGTTGAGGTCCCGAGGGGCTCGGGTGAGTTTCGGATGGATAACAGATCATTTTTGGCTTTTGGGAGATTGCTGATAGCTGCTCGAATGTTCTTCTGATTTCCTTATGCACGATCGTGTAAGTCTGTCTGCGATCGCGTAGGGTAATTTGGGCAGAGGTGAATTTGTTCTACGCGATCGCGTGAATGGGGTTGCGATCGCTTAGGCTTAATTTGGGCAGCTGAAAATTTGTTCTATGCGATCGCGTGTGCATGTTCGCGATTGCGTAGGTTGGGCCAGTTTGTGCATCGCGATCGCGTGGCGTTGTTTGCGATCGCGTAGGGGAAACTGGGGAGGAGCTGGGCCACGTGCTTAATGCTTCGCGATCGCGTGGTGAGGTTCGCGATAGCGTAGGTTTGCGGAGTCAGTGATTCGCGATCGCGTGGGACTTTCCACGATCGCGTAGAATTAATTTTGGCAGTGTAAAAATTGTGTTTTGCGATCGCGTGAGGAAGTTTGCGATCGCGTAGAAGAAATCACTGGGCAGAGAATTTAAGTTCTGAATTTTTTTTATTTTTTTACGATTTAGAGCTCGGATTTAGGCGATTTTTGGGAGATTTTCAAAGAAAATAACGGGGTAAGTGTTCTTAACTCAATATTGGTTAAATTATCCGAATCCATCACTATTTTTTTCATTTAATTGGTGAATTAAGTTGGAAAGGTTTGAAAACCCTCTTGGATAGATTTGAGGGCCGAATTGTTATCGTAATTAAGTAATTTTGATATGAGCAGACTCGTGGTTGAGTGGACGTTCATATTTTGTATCTTTCGCCGGATTCCGAGACGTGGTCCCCACATGCTTATTTTTGAGTTAATTTTAAATTTTTATTGAAAAATATAGTATTTTCTTATGGAATTGATTCTTATAATTTTTAGTGATTGCATCGAATTATTCTTGGCTAGATTCGAGCCAGACAGAGTTGGATAATCGTGGAAAAGGCCTTCTAGTGGATTAAATTGGGGCAAATTGAGGTAAATCTCTTGTCTAATCTTGTGAGGGGAAAATTACCCCATAGGTAATTAAAGTAATAATTGTTGCTAATTGTGGGGGCTACGTACGCACGAGGTGACGAGAGTCCGTGCGTAGCTACTATTAATGCTAAAGTTCGGGTAGTTTAGGACTCAAAGCATGAATTACTTGTGTAAATTGTATTCTTTGTTTAATTAATATTATTTGATATATATATACATTTATATATATTGTGAATTGTTAGATAAAAATATTAAAGGATGGAAATCTCATATACTTGATTATTTTTCTGTTTAAATTAATTAATTGTTAAGAGAAATTGTTCTTCCTCCTGAATTTATCTTATAACAAATATACTCTNGTTAGATAAAAAATTATTAAAAGGTGAAAATCTCATATGCTTAATTTTATGTTTAAATTAATTAATTGTTAAAAGAAATTGTTCATTCCTCCCGAATTTATCTTATAATAAATATACTCTCCTTCCGGAGGTACATAAGAAAATGTCCTCCTTTTTTGTGGAGCGGGCCGAATGCCTCGACAGGATAGATGCATCTATGGATCGCGCCGCACGTTCCTCAGCAGTGTACACGACACTCTGGATCGGGCCGTACGACCTCGACAGAAATCGTTTCTAATAATAATAATTACACGATACTTTGATAGTGTATTGCAACTTGTGAAGCTAATTGATAAATTAGAAATCTTTGGAATTTAAAAAATTATTATTCCTGCTTGTTAAGGAGTTATTGTTATTCCTGCAAATGAGACTAATTGATAAATTAAAAATTAATTGGAATTGAAGGAATTTAATTAATATATTGAGAATTGTTGCATTTGAAGGAATTTAATTATTTCTGCTGGTTAAATAAATTATTATAAATTCTGTGAATCATGCTGATTTAGATATTCTAGTTTTATTTCAATTATTATTATTGACCCATAATGAGTGTCAAAGTCGGCCATCTCATCTCTACCACTTCGAGATTAGGCTTGATACTTACTGGGTACACGTTGTTTACGTACTCATGCTACACGTGCTGCACTTTTTGTGCAGGATTTGAGGGAAGTACTAGTGGAGGACCTATCGTCTTACACCTACATTATCCAGAGGCTTAGTGGTGAGCTGTCTTTTTGAGCCGTTCTGCAGCTAACAATGTCTCTCCTTGTATTTTTATTATGTCTATTTTATTTCAGACAATATTTGGGGTTTTGTATATTCTACTAGATGCTC